ATCATTTACAGGGGTCGAATCAAATATGCGCGGGAAGAACGACGGCAAGCCTAGACGCTGGCAAACCTCGTTACAGCTTTCGAGGTGAACTCGCAAAAGCGGTGTATTCTGGACGAGATCTCGTGAAAGATAGATGCTACGGCCTGTCTGGCCGCTGAAACAAAGCACTACTGGTGCTGGCCACTGTGCCGCAGCTGTCTTCTTTTTCCTGTCTATGCTCCTCTGAGATACAGGACATGAGCCAGAGGCAATGGCTTCTAGGTCTTGCCGAAGGGTGGTAAGGCTCGCAGCAGTCCACGTTGAAGCATATTCGAGTGCTCGGTTCTGCTTGCGGGCCAGATTATACGCCACATCACCTAATTTAATCGAGGGGTTTCGGTCTAGGAATGCTTTTAATGCGGTGCTGTATGCACGAACGCTTTCTGTTGTCTTCGCCGAAATGAATATTGGATATTCAATCTTGTTATTTTCTGGCAATTGGTCGATAACATCTTCAGTCGCCAAACTACGGCGATACTCACGAACAATGATAGCGGCATTGCTTCCAGCCGCCCCGTAGTTGTTAATAAGGGCCGCCTTCCACGTGCTTGTGTGCCATGGGCGAGCCTGTGTGGCAATTGCCATCTTGTCCGGCTCCAAGGCGGGAATTTTTGGGTTGAGACGAGTAAAGTTGGGTTGCTTAGGGATTATGCCGTGCTGCATCATAAGTAACGTCTTGATGACTCCCGCTACTCCTGATGAGGCTTCGGTATGACCGATCACATCCTTCACCGACCCTATCACAAGCTCTTGTGTACGATTTGAGCTACCGAATGCACTTCGTATACTAGCACATTCAATAGGATCGCCTACAGGGGTTCCTAGAGTTTACCCTTCGTCAGCATAGTTTTAAACGAATATGCGATGGATATTGTATAAGTCAGGGGCTGCAATATTTCAGCTTACCCGTTCCGTGAGCCTCTACATAGGAGACCTCTGAAGGCAACATTGCACCTCCGGCGAGGGCTTGGAGGTATAAATCGCTTTGCGACCGTGAGTCCGGTACAGTGATAGGACTGCAGCTCGAGTTTTGGTTGACTGCTGTCCCCGTGATAGTGCCAAGTATGTGGTCGTTATCAGCTATAGCCTGTGCTAAAGGCTTGAGGACTAACACACCGGCACCCTCACCACGACAATATCCATTTGCCTCGGCATCAAAAGCCCGCGAGGCACCTGTCGTGTTTAAGAAAGAGGCAGCTGCCAGGTTCTGATAGAAAGTAGAGCTTGTAATTACATTGACACCTCCAGCAATGGCGACGGAGCAGTCGTTTGTTTGAAGAGCCTATTGGTTCAAAAAAGTGTGGTTAGTAGCCTGTAACTCTGCGTGTGAAGTGCGCGGATATATTTACCTTACAAGCATGATGAATAGCAACGGCGGACGAAGAGCATGCTGTGTCAAATACAATAGAGGGGCCAGTCCAACCAAAATGGTGGCTGACTCTACCACTGATGAATGCTCTTATAGTTCCAGTAGCTGAGAACGCGGTTGCGTCTTCCGAAGCTACATTATCCTCATATTCGACGTAGCCCGCGCCAATGTAACATCCCACAGGGCGATGTGGTGACTCTGACCCATCTGCGTATCCGGCCGATTCCATGGCTTCGTATGATACCTGGAGTAGAAGCCTCTGTTGAGGGTCCATTGATGCGGCTTCGCGAGCAGACATGCCGAAGAAGCGATGGTCAAATGCATCAGGATCATGTAGGAAGTTACCAAAGAAGGGACCTTTAGGATTGCGCCACAAGTCCGAGGGCTTGAACCGATTTTCAGGTACAGGCGTGGTTGCATTTCTTCCAGAGTTAATCAAGGACCAGAAATCTTCAAGAGAATCGGATTGCGCGTATCGACACGCCATGCCAATGACGGCAATGGGTTGGGCTGTTCCCACGGCCGCCGGAGAAAGAGAACCGCTCGGGGTCGTCTGACCAGTAGCCAAGTTGCCGGTGTTTATGCCACTGGAAGGTGAGCTTGTTTCTGACGATGGAGACTGGTTGAAGCATCCGTTGGTGGGAGTATCAGTAGCTGATTTGAGAGATCGAGGTACGGCTCCTGGGCTGCTGCCAATGGGTATTATTTTAACTGGTTGACCATCCCATGTATCCAGCGTTGCTTTAACCGTTTCATACCATCTACATCCATCCAGCAGGATGCAGTCTAGAGCAATTTCATGAAGCGCCCCTTTCGTGATAATTTCCGTGTCTAAAGTAGATCTCAGGGGCACGGTCAGCTGTTCAGCTGCGGGGAACTGAAAGTTTTCATTATGCTGGAACAGCAACTTTAGCTGTTGAATGATCTCAGTCCTCTCTGGACTGGTCGTGTGATATCGGCCGGAAAGGCCAACTGGTTTAGCGGATAAACCGCCGTCTGCGAGTTTTCTGGCGAAGCTCGTAAATTGGCCCTCTGGTATCGTGAGCGTGACCCTGTCAATATCAGTCACGCAGGAGATATATGCCTAAATGTCATATAAGCCATGGAGGAAAGTCAAATAAGTGGGTAGCTATATCATAACTTACCTCCGGGAAGGACGCCAGCGTCCTTTCAAGATATCCCTTCTCGATGTTCGAGGTCCATCCAACCGACCACGTAGAGCTGGACCGGGAAGAATCCTCACCCTCACCCGACCGTTCTAGTTCGTCTAGGTCTACGACGGCCCCAATACAAACCGCTAGGCGAATTGCGGTATTCGTCCACTTCTCTAAGTCATCTCTATCCCGCGCGCTTGCTACGACGGTAGCAGCTAAGAAGCCAACACAGAATCCCTGCACGGTGCCTTTATAACCTAGACGGAGATATTCGACAATTTGCGACATAACAGTCAATGGAACGAGAAGTAAGTTGCAAGGGGCACTTAGCCGGGGTGCTTCTTCGTTCTGATTCTCAAAGAATGTACCTAATCGTTGTAGTTGTTGCTTGGCTCCTGTGAGACGCCTGAGGCTAGGAGAGCTCAGTTGAACCGTAGTCTCCCATAATGAGGGCAGCTCATTTACAATCTGAATAAGGAATCCAAGCCTAGGATCCTCCAGAATTGCCTTTCGAAGGTCTGTAAGACGGGATGGTACCAGCCGAGGGATCTGAGGCCCGAACAATAAGAGGGTGTTCGCGGCCGAGTTTGTGGCGGCTGCATACATTTTTCAAGTATTGATATCTGATAGCGCTACTACAAGAGATAATAAAAGTTCTTAAGAGCGCGGTATACCATATAAGTACGTGGGTCTCTTTAAGTATATTATGTTAAGTAATGTTGTTATTGAGTCTCAATCATGAAGTTGATTCATACGGGTGCCGTGTTGAGATGTATTTTCAGGTGCTAGATAGGTTTTAGGGGTCGAATCATGTTTTTATAAAGATGACGGGCTCCCAAACTTGGACATCATGTTTACACGATAAGCTACTCTTACATGGGAGGCGGTTCTTCCTAGATGATCAGCATCCGTATAATCAGTATATAGTTCATAAGAAAGACATGACGAACAAGGATACTAATCGCCATATCCCTAGCAAAGTCGTATCGTTCCGCGGTTCTGCAAGAAATTAATGAATGAATTAAGTACCTTGTATAAGACAATCTCTAGGTTTTATTTGGTTTGTCTACCTGTTTAATCCATTAGTTATGCATACCCGTGCTCTTCGTTGACGGCTTTCCATCTTTAGCTATTTCTTCTTTAGTGTAGTTTTAAAAAGCTTATCGGAGTAGTAATAATACACTTACTACCTTAAGAGTTTTATTATATAAAATGTAAATTATAAACGACTTTTATTTTTTTATTAATACACGTGCCGGATTAAAATAATCATGTTATATTTTTATTTTTATTTATACTTTTTTTATTTAACATTTTAATTTTTAAAAATAAAGTTTAAATATATTTTTTTATTTACATGTAAATTATTTAAATTATTTATTTTTATTTATTTATTAAATTAATCAATTATATTAAATAACTTAAAATTTTTTATTTTATGTAAAATAACGGTGTAATACGCGTTTTTACGATTTTACCTCAACTAATTAAATATTATTAAATAAGCCTTATATATTACTTATTTAATACGTATAATTGTGTGACAGTTACTTTACATGTGCGGCTAACACATAAACATGGATTTTAAGCTTGGTGTAGCTTATTTCAGGCCACTTAAGATGTATTCCTTGGCAAATATCCCCGAGAATGTTTGAGTACATAGTCCCGCTTTGGAATCAAGAAACTCCGTGTCGGAACTTGAATGCTTGATGCGCTCGCGATTTGCATATACATAATGCTACCAAGTCCTGCATTGCTAGCTAGCCATACATGTGGTAACTTTGGATCAGGATCGCAGAAGGATTCGAAGGGTTGAATGCTGACCTCCGTGAACTTCCAACTTCATAGGCTTTATGATAATGGGGCATACCTTATTAATAACTTGTCACACAACTAATACGTACTGAATAGGCGATATATGAGGTCTAATTGATGGTATTCATGATGATCTGATTGGATTGAGGTAAAATCGTGGGAACGCGTGTTACACCGCTATTTTACATGAGACTAGGGATTTTCAGGTCACCTGACATGGCTGACTAATCTGACATAACTTAAGTTTAGGTACCTTTTAAATTTTAACACAAGTTCATTAAGAGCCAGTCCGCCCTTTCTTAAGGTAGTTTTTAGCGCATTATAACCTTTAATGGATCGTTCCGGGCCGGCCCGCTAGCTATGTACAAACTCTAACTTTAGTCATAATGCCCCGCTATTGTCTGTGCAACCAGCCCCGAGGTACACTGATGGAAAATCATCTCATACTCTGTGTCAGACCAAAGCAGCGGTAAACGTTCATCTTTAAGCATAAGTTAGCGTCAAATTATCAGTGCAAGGATTCTTTTGCACCAACCAGAATTGAGATACAGTATTTTCGGTTTGATATTTGATTGGGTATAATTGTATCCGGTACTTTTGCAAGGCTAGTTGATTATATAGTTCGGAACCCTGATATATGTATTAAGCATGTTCGGACCAAATCTGCGAAGTCTGGACCTCAAATTAGACAATCCCCCCCTCGTTTTGCGTAGAGCGGGGTTTCATTTCACACATGCCAAAATATGTGCTGACCCAGTCAGCCATCATTTTACTTGTTCTTCAAGTACCTAAAGTAGTCGTGACTTGGGGTTGAATATAATGAATACTAATAGCTATTCTATCACAATATATTCTATAACGGTGTCATAGATACATATTTTGCATCTAAAAACAGGCTATTTGTAGAACCCTGTAACTAAGCTACCTTTGTAAACCTCACAGACCAATCAAGTATCAGGCTGATAGTGAGGGTACTGCTGATCAATTCTTAGGCTCTAGTCCTTCCAGAGCTAATGCCTCCTTGCACACTTTAAATACGTCAACGCTGGAGGAGTGAGCTCATGTCTTATAATATAGCAAACTAGGTCGAACTTACGTGTAATCATGCTTCAAACGTGCGGAGAACGAGGTCGGTACATCTAGTAAGGTCAGTCACCATCGAATATCACAATGAGGTTGTGAAAACTAAATATAGAGAGTGGTCTAATTGGTGGGGCAATGAAAATACATACCAGAGTCTGGAGGGTCAGCATAACGGCGAACTCGATCCTCAACCTCTTTTTCCTTGCCGAGGCGGACTCTAGATAGTGATTGAATTCTTGATGCGCGAAGTCTACGGACTTGTTCGTACGTAACGAGACGACTAGACACATCCGTTACCGACTCTCCATTACCGAAAAGAGCACCTAAAGCCCCGGCATCTTCTATGGCCTGATTTGCGCCCTGTGCGCCAAACGGGAGCATCTGAGATACCCTGATGTGAGCCTCTTCAAATAAAGTAAAAATGATATGGGCCGTTACGTACTGGATGGGCTGCGTCCCCTATTAGCACGAATTTCCCTCGATGCCAAATTGGAAGCGGATCATGATAGGAAAGAGGCCAGTCGGTGACATTTGGAGCTACGCTAAATTCAATATCCCGTTAGGTTTTCAACTTTCATGATATACACCCAGAAGGGAAGCTGAACACTTACTTGATGATATGAGCTATACTAGGGTGGTAGTGGCCAAACTCTCTTAGCATGAGAGACTTTAGATCTTAACAGATTTTAGTATGAGAACATTTAGTGATTTATATTTATGCTTACCCGTGTCATCGCCGTGAGTACTTCCATGAATACCCGCGAAATTCTGGACTTGCCCGCTGTGTGTAACTATGTCAGGTATATTCTCCCCAGTTTTGCTTACACATTCGGGAAGCTTACTTTCGACAAGTATACCACACCATATGTCGTTCTGTCTGAGAGGTTATATCTGCTAGAATACTGTTGCCCTTCCCCTTTACTTTCTGCAACTCGCGAAAGTGTGGATCATCCTGTAGGTCAGATGTTGGTATCATAAACCGGAATGCACTTAGTCCTGAGGGAGTAGATCTCGTCGCTTTTTCGTCTCCTAGCACTACGCCCCTCAAAACGGAATGTAGACCGTCAGCACCGATGATGAGGTCCGCATAGTGCCTTGTTCCATCCTCTAGTACAACAAAGCCTTCTTCGGCATTAGCTGCGACCACTTTAGATGCTAATTCAAGATCTAAAGTGGAGGTTAGACGCAGAAGTTCGTTGTGCAAATCTACACGATGCACAGTATAGAGGGGCGCCCCGAATTCCTCGCGAGCATTGATTAAATCTGCACGGTGAAGGGGTTCTAGCGTGACGCCATTCAATACCTCGAAGCATGTCATGTCATCAGCTCGAGCCTTTGCGAAATCGAAACCCAGGCGAGATAGCACGCGCGCCCCATTAGGGGTTACGAGAATTGCAGCACCCACTTCGGCAGCAAACCGAGACTTCTCTAAGACCTATATTCTGTTGGCACTTCTGATAGAGCTAACTCAAGGTTGTTGGTAAACAGGAATCTCATCCTACCTTTACAGAGTGGCCGGCTTGCTGAAGTGCGACAGCGGTACATAGACCGCTGATGCCGGCGCCAACAATAAGTACTTGGAGAGTCATTTTGAGTACGTAGAGGACACCTTTGACACCTAGATGTTTCCGAAAAAGACGAATTAGCGCAATCCTCTAGGTTTTTTCACATCTCCTGTATTACACAGACTAGCTCATTACTAAGAAATTATGTATCCTGGGAACACAGTTAAGACTTACATGTATCTATATCTCAAAATCCGGAAATCACGATATCGGATATATAAGCAGAACCGATCACAATAAAGAGATAATCATTTTAGAAGATGTGACATACCACGTCCCAACCGACCTCGGTCGCTTCCCATACTGAATAGGCATCTAGCTACCTTGCATCGTAAAATTTTGGAACGAAGGATTGACGTTTCATGCATTCCTGTGATGAATAGTGAGGAGGTTGTCTCGCAGAATGCCGTCAAAAAACATGCCCCATACTGCAGTGGCTAGTATGGGATATCTTCTTGACGCTATTATGTCTTGTAGAATGTAGGATTTAAGAAGTCATGAAAGTGCATGATGTACATAATGTTTTTTAAAGTCACCCTGTGGGTTAGATCTACGTTTTCAATTCACTCGTTTATCTGGTTTTATTGGTTGGCATGCCGCTGAAATACCAGGTTCTTTTCAATATGGCCTGGCCCCCATTTGCAATTTCACTGTTTTGTTGTAACGGTGTGGTACATAGGTACTTATATTACCTTAGGTACCTCTTTGTACAAGTTATACGCCTACCTTGTAAATATACTCTGGATGTTTACCGAGGCTGGCTCTATGATACTAGGATTAAGATTCTAGCGTAAGAAGAGGACAATTGATTGGCTTAGCCAGCGTAAAACTGTATACATAGGTAGGTATACATATATGTAGGAGCGCCTTTCGCGTATTCCTTTTTCTATGTAATAGGTCAAGTAAAATTATGCCTCTGATATAGCGCAAGCCTTCAAAGGGGATATTACTTATCCGAGTGCAACTTATGAACCTAAGTCGACGATAGGGTTCGTAGAGGTTTTATACACGCTTCTAAACACCTGATTCATGACATGCAGAATGGTTTGCATTATCCAGGAGAGTGTCTGGGTATTTGCTTGTGTGTTCGAAGAGTTTTCGGAGATAAGTAAAATGCGATAAAATGTTTATTATGATTCCATCATCCTGTTAGCTAATGTGCTGACGTGGGATCTGGCAGTGCTTCCCACGAAGTGCTAGCGTAGTAGAAGCTTTTATCCACCGTCTCCAGCAGGGAGATAAGACAGAATATCTATGATAGACTAGAGAAAATTTTTTCGTCTCGTTCTCTCGTTCTCTTGACTTTAGTCCTGGCAATACTATGTCAAACTGTTCAAGGGTCCTAATCCAGCCGGACTTTACGGCGAACCTAGTCTCTCCAGTGGGCCCGGCAAAGCAAGTTTTCCATGTCCTAAACCAGGCAGATCTGTTTTATTACTAGGGATATGAGAGTGCTAGGAGACTGGCGCCCTCGGATCCATCCTACCCCCTGGGGAAACAAGATCCCAACGACTATGTAGATAATGTTGGGTTATACGTCAATGGGTGGGGAGTGTTACTAGTGTATCCACTATCGCGAGTTATGTAATCCCGAGACATCTAGAACAAAGGACACGTTTAGTATGTATAGACTCAGACTCTCGTAGATAGATTAGAGTCCCTTACGGAAAAGCGAAGTTGTTTCCCTACTGTTTAGTTCCACCTCGTGACAGGCAGCTTATGGTAGTGGGTAAACCGATCGATCGCTAGACGATGGAGCGCATCGTTAGCTACATAAACGTTCGAACTACTAAGGCCGAATTGCGTGTTTGTAGATGCATTTAGGTATCCTATGTTTCCGGGTACTACTAGTATGCGATCCCTTCGCAGAAACAGGGTGTATAGAGGCAAACCTAGGGATAAGGATACCGTTTAGGAAAAGATCATCCGAAAAGTTGACTTCAAATCCAGGTCAAGATACAGATATTTAGGAAGGTGGTTAATTCTTTTGTCATTTTGCCGGGTCTAGTTCCAGTTTCATGGGCTTCAATGGCAACTTGCTTTCTCAACCTCCTGCGTGTTATCGGTCTTGTCTTTAATCCCATTAGCCGGACGAGGCGGCCGCCGGGACTATAGGCATAGCAACCTTGAAATCCCATGCAGAGAAGGCAAGGGTATTCTCTTATGTATCGTAGTTTAGTCTTTAGCCCAGCTCAGTGGCGAGAACTACATTACGATCGGCTTACCCTTCTTAGGAACTTGGTTCGCTCTGGAAGTCTATAATCGGTTAGGTATAAGATGGCGGGATTAGAAGACGTATAAGGACTAACTTGTTAGCATGGCGACTGATGCAGCCGTATACATTGTCTATAACTCGAGACACTGTGAAGGTATATCGAGCATTATAATCTGCTCGCAAAAATGTTCCGTAGGTACATAGCTATTGCAACCCTAAAATGTCAATATCATATCAGTCTCGAGGTAGGTATCTAGTTCGTCTAACGCAGAACGGATCATGCTTATTTACATCGTCGTGGGTATCCTCTTTACTCCTACCCACAACACAGGACATTGCATGCATGACTCATGAGAGCCGGTAAGCACCCTTATATATCCCGCATATAGACGAATATCATATCATTAGTTACATGCAATTATAATAGTTCACGACCTGCCTAAGCTAAGTCATTAAATATACGCGTTTATGATTTAGAGGTCATCATGTTATTAGCCTCAGCTGGCGTGTAGTACGAATGCCACTCTCTCGATCTCAATCAGATCTATCACACACAATGCGCACAGATAAGGATCTGGTTAATGTAACCATACCAACAATTTCGTGGGGGTTTTCCATACAACAACAGACTGATTCGGATACGACTAAACCTTGCGACTTAAATCGAACGCTCGAGCTACCAGCCCTATCGGCTCGAGTATGCCACACTGTCATGGTCACATGACATGGGGGTTACTATGCTTCGTGGTGTAGGGACCCTTATGTATACCTTAGCCCCACTAATTTAAACCCTACGCTAATGATGCAGGCTGCACGTAGCCCTTGGCAGGTGGATCTGACTAAGGTATTACTAGACCCCTGCAGTCTACAAGGGTGTTTGTATTGTACAGTCGGTAACTTCTTGCTTGTGAACATGTTTCGATTTTTTAACAACGATATTGAATTCCAGATGCCGATCCTCTCCTACTTCATCTAACATGTAAGCCAGCTCCTTTCAACTTGCACCAGTTAATTCATTAACACTTAATCTTCGTCTGAATAAGCACATTGCTACATAGTAGCCATACGCCATTTTCTACCATCGGGTATCTAAATGCACTCAGCCGTCATATATCGCGAGCGATATCGCAACTGCTTTAGCGGAGGTGTCGCTGATGCACTAGTGATGTCGCCAGCGCATGTAAGATGCATGGAAACGGTAAACTTACTTCCTCCAAAGGGTTTACTTATTCACGCGTACCAGTTGATAAATCGTATGATCTTGTATCAAATGTTGAGAACTGTTGTGCAACTTGCATACTAAGACGAACTGTTCGTCATCAAAAACAAGTATCTTGTAGAGAATATTAATAGATAGTACGGCAATGGTAGTGAAATTTCAAGTAACTCTTTCGCCAAATAATTATCGGAGTACTAAGGTAAAAGCTCGAACTCCTATTTTCCGTTCTTTCTCTGCAGATTTAGCATACGCTGTGTTCTTTCCCATGAAATTATCACCTCCTTTCTAGTTCCCCTAGCCCAACGCAAGATATACGTACCTATTCTTCATGCACATCACACCAATGTTATAATATTGTCGGTATCAACGGTATGAGGAATATATACCAATAGGGCCTTCAAGACAGTCATATTTCCTATTATCCATCAACCCGTAATAAATTAATGGATTTATTAGTATTATTGAGATTCTACATGAGACATTAAAATGAAGGGTATCTTCGGTATCGTTAGCTACAGGTTGCTATATATAGCTTAGGGTTCCGCGAGGAATAACGAATATATTTCCATACTTCTTGCTCCAACTTGTGATATTTAAGCAAAGCCTTGTCTTACATTATCTACCTACACAATTACAATGCTGGCAGTTTCCCGAGGAAGATTGCCTTCTCGGTTTATAGCCTTCCAACAGAACACCCGAGCACTATTAATGAGTTATATCATGAACATATTTAGTTGTTGTTTGAATGATCTCGGTAAACTCACCCTTGAAGTTTCTTCAAGCTCTGATGCTCTGGATGATTTAGGGACTTAAAACACTACGTCGTCTATACCCCAAACATCCTCATTATTTCCATACCATCTTATTTAGGTGTTCACTTCGTTGCTTTTTCTACCTTGTCAGATCCCCAAGTCTGTTCAGTTTCGACAGACCAATTTGGATGTCAGATTTGGTCCTAAAACGTCGAACCACGGAAACCTCAACGCACAAGTTGTAGGCCCATTTCCAGCATTATAGACGTAGACTCTCGTAGTGGGGTTAGAATTCTTTGCGGAACAACAAAGTTGATTCCATGCCGTTTGGTTCCACCTTGTGACACCCATTCAATGATGATATTGAGATGCTGTATTTGTACAGTTGCCAGAGGCGCTTTTTTAATATCGAGATTGTCGAGCTAGGTAGCCTGCTCAGGAAGCTTGCTAAGCCGATAGAGTGCCACATGCTCGAGCTGCTGATGTAAGGGGTCCATTTTTGGTGACGGAGGACACGTCTACTGGTTTGTTATTATAGAAAATGTGATTGGATATGAGACATTTACGAGCAAGTTTATATATTTTTAAGTCTAGAGAAAAGAAAGAAACCTCACAAATTAATATCGGTATAATAGAAATACTTGAGTTTGAAAAGCCTGCCTACCTATAGTACCGCAAAGTTAATACTCTACAGCCAGTCACCAGTTTATTATCTATAGTTACTTGCCCAGATATCTTTAAACCATGCGTTCCTAGACAGGTACCACACATGAATGTTTGGGACTATGACCCCAGCTGCTTCGAGTAGAGCCGTTTAGGTTATTCACGATAGACATTCGAGTAAAATGAACAATGATGATATTGAAGTTGGCCAAGAATAAACCACGTAACATTTTTCACGAGTATTAGTATCATATGCCGATTCTTTAGGATTACGTTATTCAATTAAGAATTACTTGGAAAATATATCTAGGTATGCAATCTTGAGAGGAGAATATTTATCCCATCAGGATGATATCAAATACGATATCATTTCCTAACTTAGGCGTGTTCGACCCTGCAATAGCCGCATAAATCGCCTACGCTGACTACTTTATCGATGCAATTGCATACTCTGCATGCACACGTGTTGCTCTTGTCCCTGAAATTGACAGGCTGGGCCATGTTGCCGATTTTATCGTTTGTTGAATAGATATTTTCCTAACGAAGATTGGGGTATATGATTAGATCTTAGTATATCTGCGGCGATGTAGTAAGCGATCAATTGTTGTGCTATGTGATATTTGGTGACTAATGATGCGTATAATACTGAAATATATACTTAACAAACATCGGCTCAATAATGAAGTTATGTCGGAACAATTGTTTAGAAATGTAACCGTTCTCCGTTGCGTCCCTGTCAGAATTCTATCTGGATGAGACATATAGAACAAAGGACATGTTTAGTATATAGATATAGATTCTCGTAGTTAGGATTAAAGTTGCTTCCGGAACAACAAAGTTGTTTCCATATACTGATTTGAGTACCTCGTTGAGTTAATTGTTCGTGGGAAATTTCTCATCACAAGCCAGTTCTCATTAAAAATGAAACTATAGGAGCCTAAGCAACTTCGTTCTATATCGCCTGAGCGTAGCATAACTCTATGAGTGACTACAGACATGGTTCTGCTTCCATCATATAAAATATTACTAAGCTTTGTCCAATACGTGACCTCGAACTTGCTGCTAACCCGTAACCTTTAAAATGCTAGGTTAAGCGTATACCTGAAAAAGAATCTAGGCAACACTCGCAGTTCCATTGATATTTATATGTTGATAAGTACCTAAGGTATATCCTGATGGTAAATAAACTAGTGCACTTATGCTAAGATAATGAAGCTCGACGTAGCATTACTATCGTAGTCGACACCATGGAGGGCTTCTCTACCCAACGTGGTTTTGAAATTGTATAAAGCAACCATGCCAGTCGTGTAGCTATTCAGTCACTCCCCCTGTAATTATCCTCGTATGCAACAGTAACTTCCCGTGTCCTTTGAATAGCTTGATTGTCCCTTAGTATGGTCCGCTCACTGCCATCGTCCGAGTTCCGCCTGGAGGCACCAATCGTCGTCACATTCGCGTTTTTTCCATCATGCCGAATAGTACCCAAACCTATCTCCATATCTGCAGGCCTTGGATTTCTCATCCTCCCTATTGTAACTATACCACGAGATCCTTCACTCTGTTTGTAATATCGATCCGAGATGGTCCCACCCAGTAGTCGAACCCAGATCGGTCGGAGTACTGGAACGGATACGCAGATAAGTGTAATGGTAAGCTCACTGCTGGTCCATATCACCGATTCTGCTGTAGCAACTGCATTTCCGGGGGCTGTTAGACAACAAATCAATGTAGTGGGCTCTCAACTTACACAAATAATCCTCGGTATGACTTAGAACATAGAGACCGGACGTTCTAACAACTCCGCAAATCCCTGCCCTATTCAAAGTCAGTTTGTAAAATGTAGTTTAATGTTGAAATACGCCTTACAATATTCCTAAACTGAGAGAAACGCAAATTGTAACCTTTTCCTTTTTTCCCATGTTTAACTTCCAAAGTACCATCCAAGGGAATCCTGCTAGGAAAAAGTCCATCGCAGCAGACCAAGCTGTGTCGCGTCAGCCTCGGTTAGCTTTTCAAATTACTACTAGGTACTTACAACACATGATGTATGCAATTGTAGTTAAATCTAAAGAGCAATATTCGCGCGGGACACGCTCGTCATAGAGAGACTCGAATGGAACGCACTGAGCAAAGACAGTGATGGAAAGCAGAATAGACCAACCCATCATCGTGGAAATCCAGAACCAGAGTACTACTTTGTGCCTGGTTATATTTTTGTAAGCATTAGGTACTCATCGAGTTAGGATTTGGACTGGACCCTACCATTTCTGAACGACAATGCGCATTAAAAACATGCCGACAGCTGCCTTGCTGAGTCCCATCGCACATGAAACAATGCATTGAGCAACAAGTTCCGCCTTGGTGGCCATTCGCACATCTGGCTTGGAGAGATCCGTGTTATGTTGACCGAAGCCATAATGACAAGAAACCGTTATGGCACATACGAATGCAACCTGTACGATCTATTGTTTCCTAGTTGGTATATTGAATGGCTTAAAGGGGCTAACTTGAATTCACATACCCAAGTTGACATAAGAACCCAGTCGTCAATGCCAATACCTTTGGTCGATGAAGTACGAATGACGACTCGCGTACCAATGAAGCCTCCAGCGAGTATGGCTTCCGTGCATACGACGGCGATGACTACTAGGCCCTGGTTTCCGAGAGGCATTACGAATCGTGACCTCTAAGCACAAAAAGAAAAAAGAAATAATGCCCGGGGACGCCACCGATTGCTAGATTGTTGAATTCATAAGTCAATGGACTGGCCGGTAATCGAATATTACTGTAGAATATTTGAGTTAAAGATATTTGTAGTTAAATCTTTTTTTTCTTGATGAGACACCTGTGGAAGTAATCGTTATATGATGATTATCAACCACGGTACTGAGCGCAAGGACATTGCCAACCCTTGGAGTACCATATGTACATAGCATAAGCCTCGGGGTGTGAGCAGGGGCAGTGGTTGTCAAAACTCTTCACTGTCTAATTTCCAGACTACAAGCATAAATCCCGACCAAATAGCAGACCCTGATAGTAATAGACAATACGCCGATTCGCTAAGAATAACAGCCTCAGCTGTTCTATTTATCTTTTCTAGAATAGAACCTATACTGCTGAGATTTTGGTGTTCGCCATTAAGTTAATTGTGTACCAGGAGGACCGGAACAACACCCATTGATAGGAATCAAACTTAACATGATGAATAACCAACGAATCTATCATTGCAGTCGCCAAGAGCAATTTTTTGTCTGGGAAAGCCTCGCGTGTTATCCTATCCCATGGAGACCTACGTAAAGCTTAATTAAGCTTAGAATATAGTTTCAAAAGCCATATTCCAACCATTTTCTTGTGGGACTCGCATGAGCCCAGGATCGGATGGATCAAGATCCTAAAACGTACTGTTGGTAGCCACTCACTCCATACGGGAAAACAAAGCAAAGTTTAGATATTAGATTTTTCGCCTATTCAGCCCTGGGTCATGCGCGTACCGAAAATTCCGGACTTTTTTGGGGGGGGGGCTGATAAAGTTGGACCCGTAAGCATCATTGCATTTTACGACCGTAAAACCAAACATGCGGTATTCTCTATCATACAGTACGCCCCTTGTAATAATGTTATTCAGTGGACCCCCATAGCTATTTCGCTGAAATCTTGAAGCATACGTCTATTGCCGCCCTATAAGATTGTTATAGTCTTCGGAAACCTTATTTCAGAGTATTTTATGCTATAAAACCCTAGTATAAATAATAGTTGAGATGTTTTAAAAGGTGTTGTTCTATTCAGAAATAGAAACCTTGTTCTGTGTTCTGTGTCGTGCAGTTCTCCAATCATTGCCAACATCTTCTTGGCAGAGTGGACACGGCTGCACAATCCCTGAGCCGCTTCAACGCTATGAGGGGACCGGGTATGCGGACCGAGCCGAGGTGGCTGTCAAAATCCGTAGTGTTGGTGCAGAAAAGAAGAAACTTCACACCGAGAATCACCTAGTTTAAGAGGTACCTAAATAGCCTTTTGGAAGTATGCCCTTGGACTTCTTACCTAACCCAGTTCTCTAGTATATGTGTTTCTTCCAGTTTATAAAGTAATTTCAAAGAGCATTGGGCAAGGGAAATATCTGACGATAAGGTTCCCTAATGAAGCAATGATGCCACGAAACCTGCAAAACATCTATGACAGGAGGGCACCCCTTCGGCTGCTATAATAGCCCAAATTTATAACTATTACACAGCCGAACATATTAAACATCTTTAATACCTTCAATGCTTTCAACCCCGTAAAGCCTCAAGAACTAGAGAAAAAAATAATTAAAAAGTCGTGTTTTGATAAAAAGATGATATAGTAAAGACTTCGAGAAACACAGGATACATCCAATTAAAAAAAAGCTTTAAACGTGCGCACAAATGAACTGCCTCTTTCGAAGAAGGCTGTCCAAAAATAATAACCCTTGTAAATTCGGGCAATGTTCAGCTTGATACTAATAACAAAAAACTACGTGTACAGGTCGCCAAGATAATAACAGGTAGTAACGCCCTCCACATCCCCATATGTGAACCCACAATGGGGTTCCCACCATATGGGGGTTTCGCGCGAGAGAAGAAAAGCTGGCTGTTGATTGAAGATGCTAGGATTGGGATCTTCGTTATTATACTTACACCTAAGATGATATTTTCTTAATTGACTAAACCAATTATAATAAATTTTATACAAACACTTAAGATATTTCTGGATGTCTGAATAACACACGACCTTCAGTCGCGTTGATGTACATAGTTACATGTACATCTCCCAAATATCCTACAAATATATTTACAAAAGCAAAGGCCACATACCTTCAAGTCACAAGAACTATTGCTATAACAAGATCGACACGTACATTTCGGCATAAATTTGCCTATGAAACACTGCAAATCGCTCGGAATTTTAGACGAATCGGATTTTATCAGCTTTCCAAAATTCCCGAGTATTCTTTGTCGCTACCGAACTCTACCAAACTAAGGGGAACCTAGTCGTCATATGCAATCCCCTGCATTTCCTGCGGCGTGTACACGTAAAATAATTTACTATTTTCATGAAGCTTGAAGTGGTTAGGTACGTTCGAGCCTAGCAACTTCCCCGTCAAAATGTTTTATACGTGCCCTACGGAACCCCAGCTTACAACTACCTATCCAAGTTTACTATATTTAGCGAGCAAAAAGAACAAAACAATAAAATACAAAGTAACATTACGTAACAAGGTATCCTGTTAATGATCTCCATTCAGCATGAAATGTTGATAGACGTGAGAAAATTGGACTGTCTTGATTATACCTAAGTTACACATTAGAGACTGGATTACTATACACTATTCTACATGACTAGAAGTTGCTAATGCTCAAGCTACATTCTCATCACTTCCTTTTCCCACGAGATCATCATCACAATAACTACCTAATCTTTGGGATATTACGTCAGACTTGTGTCTTGTCGCCTCTAGTCTCAGTCCGGACTTTGGTTGCAATGGCGTCTTTCAAATCAACTGCAACTTCGTCCCCGAACTTTGCATTAATTTCTTCAAGCGTCAGGTTCTTGGTCTATGGAGAACATTAGTCATTACATACACTATAGACTTGGCAAGATGGAAAGTTACCTCTGGGAAGTAGACTGCGAGAAAGGCTGTAGATACCACGGTGACAGCTACGAAGACGAGATAATATTTCCAACCGATATTCTTTAGTGCCAAGTTAATCGGTGCGCTATACGCAAGAGCGTTGCCATAGAAGGATGCATAGGCAAGAGTAGAGCCTTCACTGCGTAGATGTGTAGGCCATATCTCTGAGCCGTAGACATACGCTGTACATTCGATCGTCGAGGTGAAGGCAAACCCAAAGATGAAGTACAGGGCAACTATGGCATTGATTCCAGGCTGGTAGGTGGTGTCGAGATAGAATTTAATTAGTGCCGTCATGATGGAAAGAATTACTGCATTGACTATGCCTCCAATTACTAGTTCGGCACTGTTAGTGAATGCGACAGGAGACAAGCCAGCGAGTACTCACCAAGAAGTCTGACACGACCGACTCTATCCACGTAAGTTACATTCACCGCGCACCCAAGTATTAAGACAACTGTCCATGCGCAACCCAAACCAAGTTGAAGAGTCGTCCCGAATCCAAGACCGCCCATTAGTACTGGTATTAGATTGGCAATGGCGGTTATCCCGGTGCCTTGCGCCATAACCCATAGCAATATGGCACAGAACGCCCGTTTGCGAAGGTGTGGTGTTGTAAAAATATAGATATACCCCGTAGGAAGATTTCTCTCCGCTTCAACTTGAGCCTTGATTTGTATCGCCTCAGCGCGAGCAAGGGTACCCTTTGGGTCCGACTTAGTGCTATGCAGCCGCTCGAGCTCGGCTTTGGCCTGTTCCTCTTTGCCATTCCCCATTAGCCATCGTGGTGACTCCGGAACAAATATTAGCGAGCAGGCGAAGATAACTGCCGAGGCAGCTTGAACTATGAATATCAGACGCCACTGGACGGAATTTTGGACGAAACTGAATATCAGTCCACACAACGAGCACACGATATAGGCTGTGACGATACCGACACCTTGAAGACCAACTAGTAACCCACGAGTGTGAGGAGGTGCCACTTCGCTCATGTAGACAGGGCTATTAGCCATTACCATTCCCGCACCGATACCGCATAGGACACGGGCAGCAAGGAGCATCGCAATGTGATAGGATGCCGATTGCAGAACGCCAGCCAATATTGCTACGAGGGCAGCCACAAGATTGGCTTTTCGACGACCCCATTTGTTCGATATAGGGGCCTGTATAATAGCCCCAATGAAAGCACCGCCTAGGAAACTTGCCAACAACCCATCCATTCGTGCAGTCGTATCGGGAGTCGTTAGGAATTGGGCAATGAAGCTAGTCTGTGCCAATGTTCCACTCATAGAATTCGCCGAGAAGCCGTAGAGAAAGCCACCCATAGCCGCCGTAACGCATACCTATCAAGATCAGAATGACTTGCTCTAGTGACGCGCTCTTTGGCATACCTGAACTGCCCGCTTTCTGGTACCTCTAAGGTGAGTCAGGACATCATCCTCGGTACTGCTTGCATCGCTACTTTCCTTTGTGGTAGTAGCAAGCACATTGCTGGCTATAGAACCCTTCGACGTGTCAATAGACTCCATTGCCAGGCATTAGGTGAATTTTGAGTCTGATGAATGTTGACGAAAGTGCGAACAGACGCGACCTATAAGCTCAATAAAAACTCAAGTAGCTAACATCGTGTTTACTAGCTGCTATTGCTGTTACGCGGTACATATCAACATCGGTAAGCTATCCAATTTGATATCTTAACTGTGCCGGAGAGTTTCCTGGTTGAATGAAACACCACAACATTAAAGGCTCCAGAACGAGGTATGGGGTTAGAAACGTGGTTGTGCCTGAAGAAGCTTCAAGCATATGCAGTTAGCTGTAGCTGTGCCTCACGGATGTCTCTTTCAAAAGAATTTACCGTAGGGAACCCCTGTTAAGATTGTCGGCAGCTGTCTTATGCTTGGCTGATACCTCTCGGATGGTTTTGAAATAGCAGACTAAGATAAATAAGTGAACTGCTGCTGCCAAGCATGGTTAAAGCTTGCCGGGGTGAGATAGGGGTCTCCTTATAGTAAAAAACCCGA